TTACACATACCGTAAGTTATAAATATATACAATGTATACCTTTGATGATAATCCGAAGCCTTTGGATCGTCCAATTGTAAATATAGGAATGTTAAACTGTTTGAACACGTCCAGAACATACTTATGATTTTCTTCCTCAACTTCTAATACCCATCCAACTTCTTCATTAAATAAAATTTCAATTGGTGAACCCGATTTATGAGAGATGTTAACGTTTATCCCAGAAATACCAGCAAAACACATTTCCAAAAGACATACAATAAGTCCGCCATCGCTAACGTCATGACCTGCTAATACTTTTCCTTCTGTTGTGGACAAAAATAATATCAAATATTGATGATCTGTTTCACTGTAATCGAGTAAATGTTACAACTGTATTCAATTACCCGTAATCACACGTTGAGTAGCTTTGAAAGCACTTTTTAAGATACTAGCGTGTTGAATATCGGGGACATCATTACCAAGAGATTTATAAACCTGAGCTAAAGCTGTACCGCCAAGCCGGCTCTGGCCCTCTGATAAATCAACGAACAATATGTAACCATTTTTTCCTGCTGCGGGTGCTTTCAAATCAGGTGTAACTACCTGTAATTACAATGAAAGTTAAATGTAACAGTTTAAGTAATATTTTTCGAAGAAACATCTTTAATTTACCTGTTGAACGTCAGGACAAGGGGCATAGCAAGAAATTACAAGTGTTCCTGGTGCTTTAACAACATCTTTACCAATTCTTGCAGCCATGCTGAGAGAATCCTTCCCACCATCAATTGCGATCCCTAATTTATTCATAAAAGAACACATAGCAGAGCAAGCGTCGTATAATGCAGCTCCTTCTCCTGGTAATTTAGCAGCCCACATCCAATTTCCGCTGCACTTAATGTCCTACAATTTTAATGTAACGCTTAAATTATACTAAAATTAAATATTGATTTAATTACATTGATGTATAAAAATTACCTGTATGTGTGAAATTCGTGCAAAAACTAAATTAGTCAATGCTTCTGCCACAGTCATACGAGCTCCTGCCGCTGGGTTCACCAGACCCTTTATTGGCTGTTCTCCAATAGAACTTGCTATACCAACCTAGCAAAAGATATAAAAAGAATATGTTACTTTCCTTTTTAAGTTTCTTTCTTTCAGCTTTTGTGTCTGTTTACCGTAGAGAAATGAGAAATTGCAGTTACAGCAACATCAGCAAGAGGGGTGTGTAAAGGACCAACACACTGTTGCTGTGCTACTAATCCTGTGACACAACGATCAACCTTGTTTGTCAAATACCGTTTACTTCCTACTGAAGGTAAACGTAAAACTCTTTCCAAGGCGACTGCTACAGTTAAATTTGTTGGTAATTCAATGTCAGGCAATTGTATCACCTGTCTTTGCAAATTAAATGTCTACAAGAATATGAAACATGGTTTAATTAAAATCTTTTTATAATTCTTATGTTTTTTAGATATTACATAATTCAATATTCACCTTAGAAGGCATTTTTCCAAGTACCAGTTCTAAATCTAAATCAACTGGATGTTTTATTTTATCTTCATAACTTTCATTTAAGTACTTTGAAGAATTGCAATCAGTTTCTTCGGAAAGAATAATCTTTCCATTTCCTGTAACCGTTCCCACGAAGTTAATAGGACATTTTTCTCGCGACGCTATTGCTTTCAACAAATTAACATCTTCAGATTTACAGAGAATTGCATCATTTTCTTGATATTCAGCTCCCCATAGTTCTAAGGTGCTGATACTTGGATCACCTAACTCAAATTTCTTTGCAAAGATTACTGCACCTGCAGGTTCCACTAATTCTTTCAAGACATTACCTAATGTTATTTTAAACATAAATTATTATATTATTTTGCACAGTTAAGCTATGATTATGAAAATATATTTTACCATTTCCTCCAGCTCCTTGATCATGTATACTAAGTATTGGATTTTTCTCTCCCATTTCAGTGCACGCACGAATTACTCGGTTTAGCTTTTGTTCCATTTCAGGATCACCTCTTTGCACTGCTCCAAAATCTAAATTTGATTTATTGTCACCTTGCACCTATAAACTCTTGATTATAATAAAGTATTAATCCGTTACGTTAATGTTTTCAATGCGTGTAAAATTACCTCAATTGAACTTGCTGAACCACCACCGACACCAATTCTATATACAGGACCACCAATTTTGACGACTTCCATTCCTGAAAGTATAATACTTTTTATATAATGTAAACAATAATTATACAGATAATTCTCTTTTTTGACCTTTTTCAGGTGACATTTTTTCTGACATGTTACTATCCATTGTACCCAATCCTCCACTAAACATTATGGGTTTAATCCATTCACGTCGAACCCCCATACGGTCTGTCATCCCAAAAGAACGAACAAAGCCACATATAAGTGGTTCTCCAAATTTATTGCCATAATCAGATGCTCCATTACTAGCTTCAATAATGATTTCTAATGGCGATGCCATGTTGTCAGGATATGGTACATCTTTCTCTTCCCATGGTAGATTATATCCTAGAGAAACAATTGAAAACTTATTAAAGGTGAAAGATTTTATTTACTTTATATAAAAGGATAATAAAGAATAACAAACCTGGTATATGCAAATTACCAACAGAATACCCAGCTGTTCCAGCAATATAATATCCTCCTCTACCTATGCCTTGAATATCTCTTAATCTTCCTCCAGTTCCAGTTGTAGCTCCACTGTAAATCACAATATTTATAGAGTTTGCTATAATTTTGCTAGCAAATTTTTATATTATTTACCTGAATGGAGCAACACCGGTTGGAAAATTATGAGTTTCTGCAGTGAATATAAGATCCTGTTCTACATTTTCCAAATGAAGAGGACTACCAGTGTAAGTTTCATTTGGTCTCTGAACTTTTACTTGGTAACCCTTAATGGCACTGCTATTATCACTAAATTTAATTGTGTTATTTGCATTAGAATATTTTTGTGTCTCTATAATCATGTCAATTAATGATTTTTTCATTTCTTTGTCATCAATGATAATGGAACCTTTGAAAAACCAGTGACGGCTATGTTCACTGTTAGACTGTGCCAAATCAAAACACTCAACACTAGTTGGATTACGTTTCAATTTGTTAAGAAATAGATCTGTATAAAAATCTAAGTCCCAATTGTCAAATGCTAATCCTACAAAAAGTTATGAAAAAAAAAAAAAATTAGAATTTTATCTTAAATACAATTATTTATTTTATTATAAATATATACCTAATTTTGTATTCACATTTTCTAATGCTGCCCTTCCATTTTTCATAATATCAACTTCAAACCATTTTTCTGGTTTAAAACCATGATCAAATGTTTCTATTGGTTTCATATACCTGCATTCAGTCATTTTATCGTGCAATACATCTGTCATCTATATACAACAAATAAATATAAAAGGCATTAATTATTAATTTAAGAAGATTATTATGAATTATTTACTTACAGCATCTTCCACTGTCTTATCGATCACTCCATTATACTTGATGTAGTATCTAGTCATTACTTCAATTCTTGTTACTTTATGTAAATGTACAGATTTACAAATTGATACAGCATTACTGGAAAATGCTGTAGAAAAATTCAACCTGAAATAACATTAAAAAAACACAGCTCTTACATCATATTACACATTAACATTAATTCATCTTCCATCATTTCCTTTACCTTGGACCAATCTCAACAATTAGATAATTATCCAGTTCCTTATCAAATACACTATGACTTTTTAAATTATTTGGTTCTATTGGAGAACTTAAAATCCATTTTAACACTTTTAATTCTTCTTCATTTAATGATTCTTTTATTTCAACATAATAACATGATTCGGTTTCCAAGCCAATTATTAAATTTGATATATGCTTCAAATCATTGAATTTATTATTAAACTGACCTGACTTTAAACCAGGTACTTTATAAAATCTTATTATACCCATAATCTAAAAATCAAGAATAACACAGTGATAAAATATACACAAAAAACTTAAAGAACAGAGTATACAATAGGAAGACTACAGAATATGATGATGGACCATAATGTACTAGAGTGATAATTGATTACATTTGCTGAGACCCCCCTAGTAGGCTGTTGAGTTATCATAAATTATCTGGATGATAGTTGCAAAACAGAATATTTGAGTTGTCATTACAACATCAAATATTTTATGCTAAGGTCAAAAGGACTTCTTACACAATATATTTTTGTCTTTATAGAGATTATACTCTGCTTTGCTATACAAACTTTCATTATTATACATAAATAGAAAAACATGTTTTCCAGCAAAAAAAAATTAAACTGTCAGTGGTAATATCCATCCATTCATGTTTTCCTGTTAACAACACTAGTATTTGTAACATCAATAAACAAACTAAATTTGATAAAAAATAAGATCATAAAATTAATAAAGTTATACATACCAAAATATATATTTATTTTTCAATATAAAATCTTTTTCTATATTATATTCAAGAATTTACTTTTATTCTCAGTATAGATACATATATTTAATTTAATTGTTATATCCTCTATTTTTAACAAACTTTACTTTAATTCAATGCATTATGCATTTACTCAATGCATTTTAATTCAGTGCTTTATATACTATATTCTATATTTTTTTTGCAACAGCTTTTCTGCATGTTACTATGCAATTATTAAGATTAAGATTGATAGGATGATGTATGAATGTACATATAACCTTATCGTTTTTTTCCACGTTGTTTTCTATTTACCAACAATATAATTGCTATAATATCTTTTATGAAACATTTTTTTTTATAGATTGTTAACAAATACTTGTTAGAAACAATAAGAACGTATAAATTTAATTTATGAAAATTAATACAAGTTGTAAACAACTATTTTTATTAATTACTTTTTCAATAAAAATGATTAAAAAAGGTTGAAATGTCAAATGTGTATGTACTTTAATTTCATTACATTGATCATTTTTTTATAACAAGAAATATGTTTTACAAATAGCGTTAACATGCATTTTTTAATATATGTATATGTACAAATACAATGCTTGAAGCTGTATAATATATGTGGAAAATTGTTATTCGTTCAGTTTAATTTCTTTAAATATAGCATTCACGGTGTATTAATCTCTGTTTAAAAAATATTTATTTAAATTCATCTATTCATTTCATTTATCCAAGGAAATCATAATTAGAAACATCTTCAAATTGTTGATTTTGCGGATTACCAGGAGCCATAGGTCTTGTAGCTTGGCCTCTGGGACCTACCATTTGTTGCTGTAACCCAAATACCTGTTGCCTGTACGGCGGTTGTGACTGCAAAAATGAAACAGTCTTAATTAAATACTGTTATATACCATCTGATATCTTTTCCTATGTAACTTCATACTTGTTGCAATAAATGTCTTAATCCCATATTTGAAACTGGTCGCATCAACCTCGTAGCATTCGCCTGTTGGTTTGTCATACCGCCAGGATTAAGTGCTCTTTGAGCTTGTTGAGCCTGGACAAAATATTTTTATTTTCAGTTTTCCATAGAACGTAAGTATACAATAAAATATAAAATAATTGTCTAAGTAGTTCACCTCCAGTTGTTGTTTATACTGCATTTCCTGCTGCTGTGCTACTTCTAAATTCTGTTGAATCTATAAAGTTAATCATGTACGTGAAACTTTTAACATTTTTCATTCTACTTTTATATCTACTTGCTTACATTTACTTCCAGTTGTGATTTATATTGAGCCTCTTGTTGTTGCGCGGCTTCTAACGTTTGACGTAATTGCTGAATTTTTAACAAATTTTGATGCCTAGCTATTTCAATGTCATCAAACGGTGGTCTTTGTTGTCCCATCATCGCGCCAGAACCGGGAGCCACTTGAGGACCAGCCATACCACCAGTCTATCAGTGTATCAATAAAATGAGTATTTTATCATATGTTAAATTCATCAAACTTTACTACATGCCTGTAATTTGATTGTACCTGCATGTTTATTTGATTCTGAGGACCAGCAGATGATGTTAACGTTTGCTGTGGAGCATTTGTAGAAACTACATTTTGCGTTATCTGTCCTCCTCCCATAGCTATAGTATTTGTTTGAGACATAAGAATACCCCCTTGCGATGTACCCGTGGTAGGCATTGGGCCAGATATTGGATTTCCTTGTGCTGCTCCACCCTAACATATATATGTTATGTTTCTACTAGTTGAACTTTGAATACTTCACTATTTTTACTCACTTGTCCCTGCCTTACAGGACCGTGTGATGTTTTTTGTTGTTGAATTACTTTTCGAAGTCGATCTACAAAACCTGTCTGATCGTTTGGGATGAATCCTAAATAAGTTCTCTTTTCAGCTGTATAGAGGAGAATAAGTACTTTTATGTCACAAGCCGTCGCTGGTGGCAAAGAAGTGAAATGAACACAGCCAGCCTAAAATATTTATTTAACAATGATCAAGAATTTTTTTTTTTAGAGATATAAATCCAAATAAATGTAGATGGTATACTAACAAATCCTGAGCTCATAACTTTCGTTAAAGATTCTAGTGCTTCGCAAGGCGTTGGATGAAAAAGAACTGATTTTGAATTTTTCAAGTAGGATCCACCAATATTTCCTATTAATTGTTTTGGCATCAATTGCATAATTAACTTTTGTGGCCAAGTATCAGCTTTCCTGAAATATAATGATTAAATCCGTCACATCATCTTTATAAAACGCATTTTAATCAATTGTATATATGAAACTTACAACTCTGGATCGCCATCCTTGGAATTGGCAGAAACTTGACAAGGAAGGTGCCTTGTCTGTTTTGGAGCATCAGCGGGTGTTTTAGCTTTTTCAACCCATTCAATGATACCCTGCCATATCGTATGCCTTTCGCGCGCTGTATTCATTTGTAGACCCGGTACTGTACCACCCGTTACATTACCCTTTAACATATGTATATTTATGTAATGAAATGTTTTGTTGTTTTAAGAGAAGTAAAATTTTCATGAGAGCATGTTATTCATTCATATCCCACTCCTCCTAATCTTAATCTCACATACTCTGTCTGTTCTCCCTTATGGGTTTATATGCAACACACATACGTACATATTACTCATTCTCGCTCTCCTCGCCCTCTCTAACGCTTCAACCCTTTTATTATTACATCATTACATTCTTCATTTCCTTCTTTCTCTCTTTTTGCTCCCATTTCCATTCTATATCCCTTACTCTCTTTTTCCATCTGTCCTGCTCTCCTTCTGTATTATTTTCTCCTCCACCATCCTTTCTCTTTCCTTGCCCCCTCTTATTCAACGTTTTCTCTAATGTTTCTACTCTCTCCTGCCATTCTTCCATTTCCTGCACCTCTACCTCAGTTTCTCTTATTCTCCCATTTGTGTTTTCCCATCTCCCTTCATACCTTGCCTCACACTTCTCCCATTGTTTTCTCATGCCCTCTAATTCCTTCTTTACTCCCTCTATTTGCTCTTTCACTTCTTTCATCCCTTTTTGCAATTCGTTTCCCAACACCTTTATCATTTCCTCTACTGTTTGATCTCTTTCTTCCGTCGCTGGCGATCTTACAGAACTGCTACTCCTTCTAAAAATGTACTCTTCGTTTCCTTCCTCTTCTTGACTCTCTTGCTTGAAATATTCTATAAGTGTTTCTTGTTTTATTAAGTTCATATCTATCACATCTTCCTGCCTCCTGATTCCATCCTTTTCGCCCTGTGCCTTCATTCCCTTCTTTTTTCTCTTCTTCTGAATGCACTTCCTCTTTTTTCTTTAACTTGCTTTTCACTTCCCGCTAACCACTCCTACTTTCTTATCTGTTGGTCACCCACGTGTAATGTCTATTCCTTCCACCAGATTTCGCTACTTCCTCGTTCCTTCTATGCCGCCTCCCTCGCGCTTCTTTTTCTAACCTCTATTTTATCTAAACCTTCTCCTTGTCTTTTCTTCTCATTTGTCCCTTACTATTCAACTACATTACCTTCCCTACATTCCGCGATTCCATCTTTACCTGTCTCATATATTTTTACTCATACTTTCTTCACTTTCCCTCTCAAACTTTTAAATCGTTTCGCTCTAAGTCATCCACGCAATTTACTCTATCGCTCCCTGGCACCATCTCTCTACCAAAATGAAATATATTGATTAAGAATATTACCTGTGCTTGAGAATGCGTTACTTGTTGCTGAGTAACTGACGATACTGATGCTTGCGTTTGAGAAGCAGTAACTGTTTGTGGAACTTGTGTGGGCATTGATTGACTAACACATGATACTGTTAATTGTGGTCCACCTTGGCCATGCGACTGTTGTGCTGTTATAGGCATTGAACCTTGTTGAACATTTTGTTGTTGTTGCTGCTGTTGTTGTTGCTGCTGCTGTTGCTGCTGCTGCTGCTGTTGTAATTGCATTGTTAGTCTCAACTGCTGCTGCTGTTGCGCTAATTGTTGTTGCTGCTGCTGCTGCTGCTGCTGTTGCTGCTGTTGTTGTTGAGCATTGGCTGCCATAACATTAGTATTACCTACTAAAAGTGTAAATTATATGTATTAGATTTATATTCTTGGTAACAATTAAATGCAATATTATACACATCGACGTTTTACCATCCATCCTTTGTCCGAACGGAGTTACATTGTGTCCCCCTCCAATGAGGGTGGGTGGTTGATTTAATTGTGCTATCAGAGCACTAGCTTGCGTATTTGTTGGACCAGTAGTTCCTGCTGCAGGATACGGTCTCCATCTAGTGTGACCCGTTCTTGCTACTACACCTGTAGGTGTGGGGTTATAAGGGTTGTAAGGAGGTCGTCCAGGGTTCATACTAGTTGCCATTGGTACTAATGCTTGATGAACTGAAGTAGTACTTTGAGGTGTTTGATTTCTGAATGTTGGACCGTGCGATTGAGGTGGTTGAGCAATATTTTGCTGAACTTGATTTGTATTCGGACTATCGTTACTTTGCAATGGACTTAATGGAATTTGTGCAGCAGTACCCGGCGTTGTGTGAACGGCTCCGCCCATTGTAGGGCTAACGGGTCTTTCTTTCAAATTGTAATTACGTAACAATACCAAGTGTCGTGGATCTTTAGCATAATTTTTAGTCTGTGATGACTGTAAATCCCCTCCAGCTTTTTCAAACAATTTAAACAACGCCAGTATTTTTCTAGGCGATAATATTGAAAGATTAATATTTCTCTGAAAAAGAACAATTTTATATGAATTTAACTCGTGATTAATCTTTAAATTATGATCTTTGTCAGTGTACCTCTTGATAAATTGCAGCAAGTTGTTCTATAGTGTGACCAGAAAATTTATACGATTCCTGTATAACTGTTTGATATGGAGGAGAATTGCAAATTAAAATACAATGTTTTTGTGATGCAGTATTAGGTTCGCGTCTCAACTGCAGATCCTCAAAACACTGTAGTCCTGTCGCAAGACCTTCTCCAATATTTGCAAAACATTCTCCTTTTCCTCCAACCATTCTATTCAGATAAAAACATCTTGTATTCTCTAAAATACTTAAGAATGCATGTACTAATCTCTCTAACTTACTCTATTTTATCTAAAACCAATGACAATTTATGAGGATTAGCGTATGGTCCAAATGTCTCAGTACATGGAGCTGGTAAACAATCAGCAGCATGATATACTACTACACCATATAATGTTGTGCTATTCTGCTAAATAATTTTCTTCTGTTAGAAATATGATATGTATAATTGAAAACAAGGCTTTTTATAATCTTACCTCAGAAACATATTCTCTATCTTCAATGCCACCTTGACTAAAGTACCTACAAATGACAGCATCTTGGATAAATAAATTTTTTTAACAAACAGATACTTGATACAAAGAAAAAGCCATAACTTACTCAAGTGTTGGAATAAGATAATTTGTTTTAAGATCATTAAGGTAAGCTCCATTGACAGCTGTTCCTTCAATTACAAATATTACATCGGCTTGTATGCCATGTTCTGTTGGACCAGCAACCATTTTTAGCTCAATCTCTATAAAACAATGAAAAATTAGCTCTGAAAATTAAATTGTAACACCAAATTAATTCATTCAAAATTTTAAGAACTACTTACTTCAAATACATAAAAATGTAAAATTTAATCTACAAAAGTATATTAAATATTATTTTTTAATATATTAACAAAGTCATGGATCCATAGGTTACAACTTCATGTTATATTTAACTATTATTATTATCAATCAGTTAATGTATCCACCCCTAGTTGAATATTTATGAAATAAAATGTTTAACACTTGGTAAATCTTTATTGATATTATGTTGTCTATAATAAGAGATTTTATGATAGAACATTAGAACACCATCTCAGTATAGGTCAGTGAATAATATCTTAAAGTTTGTAGACAAAATAATTGTACATACATTAAAAATGATACTTATTAATTATACAATATAACATTTGATAGATGTTACAGAAGAAATGTCACCTTATGAGTGTTCATGTTTTACATACTAGATTCTGAAATACCAAAGTAGCCTAAACTTTATTTTTGCTTGTGTAGCGTTGCTGAGCGTTTCCGCTTCCTGAGATGAAGGTAAAAGGAGCACGCCTTTGCCGACAGTGGGAATCTTACCGACCACCAAAGCTGCATTACCATCACCCCACACCTGCTGCATTGTTACGCACTCTATAATTTAAAACTATAATTTCGGGAACTACATGAAGATATCAATTCGACTGTAGGTAAAGTAATTTTCTATTTCTTTATCGTTCAGTGGCACTAGTGATAGTATTTTTAAAAGTACGCGCATTGATATAAAATTAAAAAATGATAAAATTGTATGAGTTCAACGGTTCTTGCACTTTGCACTCAATGCAAGATAATCTCCACTTAATTACTCGATTTTTATATCATATAAGGAAGTAAAATGACATATATTTATTTCAATCTGTTGCACATTAAAATTGACTGTTTTCGTCTATATGGAGGATTACTATATGTAATTACCTATTACTGAATATCTAACTAGGTACTAAGGATGATTACAATTATTCATTTTTGAGTATTTCTTGTGTATTAAAACTAACTAAATACCATCAATATAATATTACACTATTCTCGATGACTGCGTCAGATATCTCAAGTGGATTTCCCGAATCTCGCTGTTCATAAATTGCAATAGCGTCATTAGTCACTGATTTTTCCTTGTTGAAATCCCCTCTTTTTAATTTATAGTCGCAACTTTTCCTGTTGAAATTCCCCCTTTTTAATCATTAGGACATGACATTTATTATCTTAGTTTATCGAGGTATGCGACATCGATCACGTCTCTTTTATCATTCAGATTTTCCCTGATTTTTAGTGTCGAATCATCTATCAGCTGGTACTTGGTGCTCGAATGTGGCAGTCTGTAAACCTCTTCAAACTCATCCAGTTACGCTGGATCTTGTGTTTCGAGAACATTAAACGTTGACTTATACACAAGTATATTTTAATATACTTCTTTTTACAAACTCAATTGGAAAAATGGCCGATCTTCCGCGATACACGTTGAAGGAAGTGGCGAAACAGGATGGAAAGGATAGAGACAGAGTCTGGATAGTGATCTACGATATGGTGTATGATGTGACTGATTATATGAGTAAGGTACTAGATAAAGATATAGTGACAATATTAAATTGACTCTCTGAGTAGTTATTAATTGAAATTAACTGATTTTTACTTTAGCATCCTGGAGGACCAGAACTGATCGAAGAATACGCAGGTCAGGATGCAACCAGAGGATTCGATGACTTTGGCCATTCTAGTGATGCTAAACGAATACTGAAGAACTTTCTCGTTGGCGAATTAACAGAAGTAGGAATTAAAATCCTTTATTTTTTAATCACAATTAAAATCTCCTATTATAGTGAGGTTTTGAAATTTTTTTAGCAAGACAAAATAAGCAACAGAAGCAAAAAGGGTAGAAGTTCTAACGAAGGGAAAGTAACAGCGAAAAACGGTCAAAGAAGGTAAGAATTTATTAGTTAATTGATATATTTATTGAAGTGTTCGAGAGATTGAAGATAAAATTAAAATTAAATTTTCTGTCCATAGATTTTTATCAATATTATGCGGAAAATGTACGACTTGATCCAGAAAGATAACCAGATACCTGATGATTATTGTTACATTAATTTATTTTATTTCTTCCGTTCTTTTCTGTTGGTTTTTGTACTACTAATATACATGTACAGCTAATTATAAACTATAATAATAAGAAGATTTATATACGTACAAGTTGTTACAAAAGAATCGTCCTTTAAAGCCTCCTATATCAACGTGGAAACCGAGACATGAAAAGAACTTGCAAGACATTGGCAGCGCGCTAATTGTATGCAAATTCAAAAAATGAATCAATCAGTGAATCAAATGAATGAATGCTCGTTTATCCCTAAGAATGATTGTAGTATTAAAGAATAAATTTTAAAGCCTGGTTATCAATATTGAACTAATATTATTGTTTCTGTGAAAAAGAAATAAATGAATTTGCAAAAGTAAGAAAATTCGGTGGGATTTTGATTCATGCGTTTCTTTCGTTCAGCAAACTGGTCCAATAGTATCTAAAGAAAATTTTGATTTACTTTTAGATCCAGCCACCCATTATTTGTCCAGTTGCTTTCGATTTTCCTCGTAATTTTGTGGTGGCTATCAGAACGTTTTCTTCTTGTGGAGCAGGTTTTGATGCTTGGCTGCTCGATTCCTTATTCTCTTCCTTCTTCTTTCCCTCTTCCTCCTTATTTTCTTCTTTCTTCTTCTTTTCCTCTTCCTCCTTCTTCTTCTTCTCCTCTTCTTCTTTCTTCTTTTTCTCTTCTTCTTCCTTCTTCTTCTTCTCTTCCTCTTCCTTTTTCTTCTTTTCTTCATCTTCGCCCGTCTTATCAGCTTCTTCTTTCTTCGGGGCCGGTTTTCTTTCGGAAGCTCGTTTTGCGAGAACAGCTTTTGCTTGAGGAGATTTCGAAGCATCGTCTTCCCTCGGATCCTCCGGAATCGGTGAAGGTGCTCTTATCTCCGGCTTCCCATCGGCGGCTGCAGCTTTGTCCATACTGCCGCTGCTTATTGACTTCAACAAACTCTTTTTCAGGATTGGACGAACCGACTCAGCTCCACTTCGAATGCTGCCCTGTTGAGAACCTTGGCTATCTTCTTTCTGTACTTCTGTGGAAGAAATGGATACTAACGCTTAATGCTAACGCTTACAACGCTAAACTACTGATTAAACTGTTGATATTCCTTCACCTGCTTCCTCGCCTTCCGGTGGTAACTTGATCCGTCTCATCATGAACTTGGCATAGGCGATTCTCGTGGTCGGTGACACCTCGGACAAATTCGGATTATAATCCACCAAACGATTCGGGTCCAACGAGCTCAAATCTGAATTCGGTTGATGATTCAGTCGACGAATACTACGCCGCGTCTGCTTTATGCTGGCTTCAGTCGTGCTACCAATAGGATCACGCGCGATCGTGTTCCTCCGGACAACCGCGTTCCAATCTTTCTTCTTACTTCCGCTGCTCTTTCGGCCAATCGCCTTGGCGATTTGAGTGAACACATCCTTTGGTTCCTTCTCGTTTTGAATCACAGCGTTCACGATACCTTCCACTATACCGATCTGGAAGTCCTTCTGGAGACGGCGTTCCATCACCCGACCCTTTTTACCGGACACTGAACAAGATAAACGATTATTTATGTTGATATCATTAAAGATAGCATAAATATTGTATGTAATATTAAAATTATCAAGTGTTTATGAAGAGATATAAACACATATATTGTCAAGTGGGTAGATTAGTCATAATACATTAGAAACTGCATGAGTCGTCTTATAAGATAAGAAGATAAGCTAAATATGTATCATTCATAGAGTATTTTTACATCAAATGTAAATATTTTTCAGCTTTACAGTAATTAAATGATTGATTCTATCACTAATTAAATCTTCAAACAAGATAATTTTTTAACATTGCTCATGGTAGTCAATCTGTTATGTAATTGTGTAATAAGGATAAAGTTAAATTTACAAGCAGCATCCTGTTTGTCAATCGTTGGTGTCCTCATTCCGTTTTGACGAAGGATATCGATCAGTTCGTATCGTAACGTGGATATATCCTGTCTAATTTCCATTACATCGTCTTCCGTGATTCCAAATTCGTCTCGTTTCCTTTGTTCCGCAGTTACGTAACGTCTGATGAGTAATCGCATCACTGTGTCGTGTCTTGCCAATGCCTTCTCCCTTGATTTTTTCTTTAAATGATTTTTAACAATTTTTAGTATAAGTTTCTAATTCGTAAATGTAACAGTATAGGTACATACGATTAGAGATCGCGTTTGGCGACCAGTTTTGCCACATTTAATGATTTTGTCGAATGTTTTTCCAGTGGGTACCATGTTGAATGGCGGAGGTACTGTGTCACCATCTTCGAAATAGCTCATCCATAAATGGCTCCTGGCAAACTTCCACTCTGTATCGGCTCTTTCCTGTAAATAACAATAGGCTATCAGTGCTGGGTGACTACAGCCACCCCTAGGATGCAACAAGCAAGTAGTAATGCGTGACTACATAGTCAGCCTTAGTAACAAGATGGTTAATTAGAATGTGCTGCAATCATACCGAGATAATTTGATAAGAATTGGACATCATGGCAATAAGCATGTTTAGCAATACGATAACGTTTATCACAGAATAAGAACCAAACATCAGAAGTGCCCAGAATCTCGTGAAGCTCTTTATTCCCGTCAAATCGAAGGACATTAGGTCTATCATACCGAAACTGGCCCAGAAAAGCGACTGCGATGTCTCGAACAAACTGAAAGTGTTTAATGAAACTTACAAAGTAACCCCCTTGTCGTTAAATTTAATTTAATTAATGGTTTATTTTCTGATTTCATTATTTACTTAGCAAAACGTCTCCAAATCGAGCAAGCCTTTTCCTGATTATCAAAGTCAGGTAAATCTGGAAAATCTTTCATGTGGTAGCACTTCATCTTCTCCAAATCAGCATAGTACCACATCAACTGATTCATTCCTAGAATAGTATTATTCTTTATTAAAATTTTTAAGAAGAATTTAATGAAAAAAGGATATTAAGACACGGGTCGAAGCTTGACAGACTTGAGGGACAATGAATAAATAATATTCACCGCAGCCGAAGGCGAAGAGCACCAAAGTATAGATGAAGAAGAACTTGATAATGTCTATTATCATTCTCCCAAGGGAAATTTGGAGTGGTCCAAGGTGGGGGTTCACGCTGAAGATGTGGACGAGTTTTAAAAAGCTGAAAACAGATATTTTTTCAATCAGTATATGAAAACTCTTAAATAAACAGACGCTGAGGGATAGGAAGATTTATTATTCCAACTTTGAGTTTAGTATTACCTGAAGATCATACCGGCGGCGAAAGCTCCTTCAGAAAGAAGCATGGGGTCGAAAGCGTGCCATTGATCCCTAGGATACCAAGGATCTACACCGCTCCAATATTCCCTCTGTCAAGAAATTAATTTAAAATGATTATTTAAGTCGCTACAAATTGAAAATATAATCAAGTTCGATGACATACTTGAACTACTATCCAAGCGGTTAGCCTCAACATTACCCAAATTACGTAAAACATATTCTGAATGAAGTCCACTATGTTCCAAAGATCCGATATGTATTCTAACAAGCCGTCTGACCATAACGATCTCATTTCCCCAGTAACCAGACCTAGAATATTAAATCTATTCATCTAGTTATACTAGGCTACAAATAAAAAAAGAAAGAAAGGTACATAAAATAATATTTTAGGATTTTCAGGATGGTATGAATTGTTTTTTAAGAAAGATTTTCAGTCAAATTTGTTTACTGATTACGTAGATGGTGACACCGGATTCGACGAAGCCAGGAATGCATCCACGCTCTCGTCTTTTCCAATCGGCGAGTATCTCTTGGAGCCAGGCGTTCCCAAATAATTCAATTGCCAGATACTCGATACGTTGTGACGCCATTCCAAGCAGCACTAATGCAAATTTCCATTGTATTCAGTCTCTCGTTGGCCGTTATAATATAATTACTAACAACTAATTCTTTTAGGTGCTTCTATCGAAAGGGAACTCGGCAAGAAGCTGAGTGAAAACTCTTTAGCTATTACCTTGATGTATTTTTAAACGAAAGATGAACTTGTTTATTCAACTTATTTTAACAAACAAAATAAACGGATTAGTAAGAAATTAAAACCATGAAGAGATTAATTTCTTACTTAGGAAGAACGCATACGAAGAGGAGTGACAGATGAATTTGACGAAAGGTTTCTTCATAAAAAGACCCATCGGCGACGTCGGTGAAATCATGTAAATTGTACTGTAGACCGGAAACATTGCACCAAGTTTACCGACTTCTATGAACTGCCCGATCATGCTCAATCTTCTGAAGCCGGGTAAACCGTCGTACCAAATAGCAGCCAATAATTGTTGTACATTTGGGTGAGCCACAAACTTCCATAAAGAATAATCATTTTAATAGTAACATCTAACGTATCTTAAGAAGTAGATTATTATACTGTTACCTGTTTCTGTTTGTACTTGATAGCGAGTTTAAGTCGGTCCAATGTTTGACGTTCTCCAGGTTCCCAATTTTCACCGTGAGGGTTGTAATTCAACATTATTTCCAGTTCCAATGACGTACGAGCATGGTCGAGCAAAGATGTGGCAAAATTTTGCGTTTGCTCTCGCATCTCCTGCGATTAAATCAAATTCTTCTTTGATATTACGTATTGTCACCAGCGCGGTGAATGTTTAAAAGGTATTAAAGATATCAAGAGGTTCCAAGTGAAAGTAAATTACATTATACTCGAAACGAAACTCTTGTTCCATTTTACTCAATCGCCTTAATTCCCATGAGAGTTCGAAAGCGGTTAAAAGAGGATCTCTCGAAGATAAAGCGATCAAGGATGGTGAGGTGAGCGCGCGATAAGCGTTTATTCGAGCCTGCGAATGTCTCAGAGAGTCCTGCTCGCTGGATGTCACACACTCGTCGCAACCGCATCTAAAACAATCATAAATATTATATCAATTTTTTTAAATATACAAACTATATTTCATTATAACGAACAATGAACACGTTTTGCAGAGGGCACGTTTTGAAATCAGCACGTGCCAGTTTTTCAATAACATAATTAGACACGCTTAATCTAATAACTGCATTATAAGCGACGAACGAGTATTGACACGAAGCCAACTAAGCCGTGGAATAAACCAGTCGACTTCGATTTAACAGTTTCTCAGTTTAACACCGTTTTAGACAACCGTTCTTGAACACGTAACAGCATCCAACGACGGATCAGATTGGGAATTTTATTACCTTTTCATCAAAAGAAATCCTTTATAAATTAATGTTACACTGTAAAAGGAATATTCAGCGCAAAGTGCTCTGTTAATTTTTTTATAATAACTTTACCTTGCATCATGAGGAGTAGGAAGGGTTGCGCCACGATCAAGAAGAATCTTCAAAATTTCATAATTGTTTTTGTGTGCGGCCAAAATCAGCGGTGTTATATCTGGAGTGAAGTTTGACGATGACCTGTCGACAGCTTCCCAGCTCTTAAGAAATATTATAAATCATTTACCTATTTGTTTTAAACATTTCAGATGAATAAAGTTGAACTCACGTAAGGCTGTCCGGCTACATGTGTTCTTTCCTCCCATTCCAGTAAGATCTCCACAGCTTCTACATACTCTTCCTTTATGGCATGTAAAAGTGCATCCTGTAGGAAGAAGAAGAAGAAGAAGAAGAAGTTATGTCCAGAATGTGCTGTGCTTTTAAACGCGTGTTCCCTAAGGTAGATACCTTGAGTCTACATTGTGTTCTATCATTTTTACTACATCTTCACTTTGTCTATCAAGGAAACTATTAATAATTCATATGTTCATTATTTTAATATGCATGAAGTACGGGAAAAAGATTGATAGAATATGCAATACGCATTTCTTTACCTATTTTCCGGGAAGCACCTCTAGAGCCCAGAAAGCAGGGAATTATCGAGGGGGTACTGTATACGAAAATATGGAAAATAGAGACCTTGATACCTTCACTTGAATCCCTAGTTCAAGAAGCAGTTTGATAAGTTCAATGTTTTCATTCTCAATAGCGGCAATCAATGCGGATCGATTCAATGGATCCACGCAGTCGATGTTCAAGAGTTCCGGATGATCCTTGTTCTCTTCCAATAATCTAAATTTCAGAATGAACGATTACTTTGGAAATATTACTCGTCAGAGGTGAAGGAGAAAGAAGGAACGATCAGAGTACGTATCCAAGGGATTCATTCTCTTCTCGTTGACGATTTATCATCGTGCTGGCTCGAAGGATTACCTTTTGACGGTGGCACAATCACCTCGTTCCGCGCTTAGCAGGAAGTGCTTCTCAACTGGGCCAAGACTGTAGTCCGTGGGCGGGTTCAAGGATTGCATAGACGGTGCTCTACCTTCGGACGCCAGAAGATTCTGTTGAGACTCGGACGGATTCATTTTCTTCGTCTGCTATTTATCCAAACGGAGCTGAGATTTGCGAGGAATGGTTCATCGATCCCCCAGGAACACCTACGACCAACAGCTGTTGAATCTTTAACAAATACATGCTGATCCTTCAGTGTTCAAGAACAGGGATCGTTTCTTAACTCTCATTCGGAAGATACTGGATCATTTTTCGCCTATATTTTAAGACTCGTATAAAAATAAATATTTGACACATTTTTGGCTTATTTTAGGTAGATACAATTTTAGATACTCGTATCGTAACGATTGATAAACAGTTTGATCAGACACGGATTTAGAGAACAGCGAAAGTAGGTTCGGATCGGGCAGAGACAACAGGATTTCTTTGTAATGATCCGAAGATAATCTTATGAAAGCGAACACGTGATACTTATCGATTGCTCCGTATTACTTCTACGAAATCTGTAATTCAATTTCGGCGTTTAATCTGGAAGTATTTAATCTGAATATCGTGATTAACGGAGTTACTTAGATATTGTTTATCCAAATTTAAACAACTATTTAAATACAAATAGATTTATAAATTTTATATTTTACATTTTTGAGTTATTATATGATACAATTTTTTTTATAATAATTCTATTATTAGTAGCAAGAAGTACATGGTTCAAGAGCGATAATATACCGCTTTCGAAACCGTTTCACGTTTACCTAATCTAAATGATGTCGATTTGTCACTTGGATTTCTACTTTCAGTATATTTCTCATCGTTATTACTCAACACGTGTTATTAATCTTCGTGAAGAGATAATTGAAGAAATACAAGTGAGAAAGTACACATATACCATTAGTAATTCGTATGTCTGACCATACACGATTATTTCTACTGTGGCGATGGCCAGAAGGTACAATTCAATAATCTAAGGTTTTATAACACTAGTAATCAGTTGGTTAATTAATTGAATTTAATTAATTGAGTTTCAAAAGTAATAAGAAATAAATTCTCGAAAGCAGAAATTATTCGAAAACGTAGAAGTAACCGAGAAAAGCTGTCTCTAATCCTTCGATTGGATTAACTTCTTAACATGTTTTCATTATTGTAACAATCAGATCTATTTGTCAAGACAAGAATATGTAGCTTTAACTAATATCTATGTACATTGCAAAATGAAGAAACAAAGAGTTCACACTATCCGAATAAGAGTAAAAATAGTTTCGTCGATAAACGAATCTTACTTTGAATCAAAATAGGAACACGAGGTTTTAAACTGGTGTCACTAACCCTTTCTAAGCAAATACCTACTAACACAATGTTCTACAAAGCCTACTTTTGTCTTCTTCTACTTTGCACTACCATAGCAATCCATATTAACGACGAACCCATGCATCCAGCGTCCATCGTTAATATTTTCAATGATTTATATCGTGGTATGCCAGACGAAGCACGGACCTTTTCTACTGTGACAGACAATGTATCGAAAATCTACGCTAAATATTATAAATAAAAAGCTTCACTACACCTAGGTACCCACGCAAGAGTTATTAATGAATCTAAGACATCCAAATAATAAGTGTCCTAATAACACAAATAAAATTATACACTATTTCTTCAATTATAATAACAGCACTCCATTCAATTCACTTGAAAAATACCAAAGGATCCAGTGGTACCTTGTAACAGGTGAAGTTAACGTGGATCCATGATCTTCAGAGATTATCAAATGTTGTTCAATGATTCTGGATCCTGGTGCTACGTTTCTCGTAGACAACGAAAGTCCGTACAACAATGGCGGAATAAGGGTAAAACTGTGCGTTCACCAGCTCTACATAGTTCGACGAAACCTTAGAACGTCGGTCAGCTGGGGCATGGATTAAGCGCACAAACACGTGGGTCGCATCGGAAAAAAGGAACGCTGGTGAACGTTTCTTCTCGCTCACATTGCGTATCCACGTGCAAGAGATCTGACCAATCTTGTCCAGGTGCCGTTACTTTTCGGATTAAAACGTCTGCCGGCTCGTTTAATAGCTCATTCTTTTTCAGTTACTTCTTTCTAGTAGACTCGGTCGTGTAGGTAGGTGTACAGGATGATTTTTTGTGGAAATCCAGGTTTATTTGTACCAGAAGAAAGTGAATTAGTAGATTGTTGTAATGATGAAAAATTTGGGACTATGGTCCTCTAATATCTGAAATGATTTTATCAAATTGTGATCATGATTGCATTATGGTTGCATTAAACCCGAGTATTTCTACTGTGATGATCAATGAAATATGACTCAAGGTATTAGAAAACTAGTTCTTCTTAATCCATGTATGACTTACTTGTATTGTATATTCATATGACTATTGTTTTAGTGTGTTTAGCTGAACAATCTCATATTGTGTTTACGTGTATTTTCATAGGTCCAGATTCATCAGGAAAGGGAGAAGTGTTGCAATTATTTCGTATGTGTTCTAAGTTGATTGAGAATAGTGTCGACGGTCAGGATCCAAGGATGGCTTGAAAGGGTCTGTCCTGCATTTTCTTCTTAATTCTTCCACGGTTTCATTATTAATAAAAAAATGGTATCTTTGTTTATGCTGTAAAGAATAAGGGAAAATTAAAAAAAAATATAATAATAGAGATTAAAAATTTCAAATTAAAATTAAAACTAAGCTTTTACTTTCCATTTGGTGCAGGTTCACGATGAGGATTACTCGTTCAGTGAAGAGGGGTAAGTCAAAACAGAGCCACGTTTCTAGCCACTTTTTCCCTTTAATTATTTAATTATACGTATGTATTAAATTTACATTCACTTTAAGAATGACGTTCAGGTTACAGACAATGTGCAGTACCGTAATACTAATTTCTATCGTTGTTGCAGGATACATAGGAAAAAGGAGCTATTTTATTTCATATATTAGAAATTCTAAGATAATTAAATAATTTAATTTCTATAAAAGTTACACAAAATTTCTATACTTCTTCCACTCTATCACCTTATGAGCTATAATAATAAACTTTGAAATTGAAAAAAAATAATAATATGGATACAATTCAAATTTTATTCATAAAATTATTCAAGTGTATAGAAAGCATACAAGCTCCGTTGTTCCTTGTACCTAGCAATTTTTCAAAATGAAACGACGAATTGTCGTTAACAATGACGATGCTATCTCGTAGTGAAACGTTCAATGATTCGATTCGCGTCACCGATATCGAAACTAATGATTAAACTTTATATGTACATTGAATACGGAGGTGGATGCACATTAAAGTACCCAGAAGAAACGTCGTGGAACAACATTGTTTATCAGCCATTCGATAATTAGTAATTAATAATTAATAACGACTTTCTTTGATAAATTTCATTCTGCTGCTGAAAAAAAAAAAAATTCCCAAAAACAAATAAAATCATACCAAGTAACTCGAATTCGTGTAAAATGTGCAAGAAATAATTTATCTTTGATCCACGATCAAAGACATTCAATCATTTTACCTGAAGGATTGCATTACGCAGGATCGACAGAACCGCGATGCATTTACAGAAGAAAATTAAAAGCGGAGCTTCACCGGTGGAAGATCAGTAAAAGACGCTTTCAGTAAAACGATAAGTACTCTTTCTTTTCATCCATAATTCAATATATTATATCGGCTGATAATAAGGTTGCTCGTTGGAATTTCAGGATCCAATGCGGTGAGGTGTTCCGGAAGTTGGGCCGCCATGTATCTTGTGCCAAGCGACAGAAACTCCGATGAATTTGCGCGAGATAATGATCGACCACGGTTTTTAATCGTGTTTCGAGTCGATCCTTTCCTCTAAGAAGTCCAGACTGTTCCTGTGATCGGCATCGATGTTGTTCAGAATGTTGCACAAACGAAGCAACCTCGTTTCATAAGAATAATTATCCTTCGATTCTTCGTTTGACAATAGATCTGAACACACGGATGTCATGTCGATCTCCAACGGGTAGACTTGCACGTTTCGGCCGTATCTGTTGGAGATATTAAATTTGTTAGAAAATGTTTGAAATACATATAGAAAGTCTGACATGATTCGATGACGTAAAAATTTCACAAAACAGCACTTATAGTTTAAACTTGCCTAATAAAATTCAAATCATTTCTTCCTCGTTTATACTCTCTGTCACTGTTCATCGTTCTGAATCCAGATCGACCGAATCTGATCACGATGTCCGGTGATTTCCAACGAGGATACCTGTTTACTTTCGAGCTACCATCGTCACCGTTCAAAATTTTCTCCACGTTACCATCCGGATCGCTGCGACCGTATCTGATGAACGAAGAACCCGGGTTGCTTCGTCGTTCCTTTAAATCAGAATCCTCTGAACGACCATCCCCGTTGCTGTGTCTCTTCAGCACGTAGTCGAAATCGCTGGACGGATCCTTGAAGATCCTTAGGCTACCGTCGGCCTTCAGAGGAGTCAATATCGACGATGACACCAATACGTAGTTGCAGAGGAACGGCAACACGTACAGAGATGATAACAGGGTCTACGACAATAGAACATAACACATATTTTTAGTTAAGTTAATTAAAATAATCTTTCCTATACATACTAATGTGTTGCTCGAATAGTAGAGCCGGGTCAATCGTGACCTAGATCTATGGAATTTATACAACTGTACTTCAATTAAGGTAATAGTTATTTTAGAAAATTAAAATTATATTCTATTAAGTAATACTTTATTTGATTCCCTGATTGTTCAAAGATATTGCAAGATAAAAACGAACGAAGAGAAATAGAAACACGTAGCCACGGTTATAGTACGAGCTCATTATTTATATTACGCAACAAGGTGGACAAACGATAGTATCTTGTTTACGTAAGTTTCAAGAATGCAAAACCTTCCATTGAATGGGACACACAATGGGAAATAAGAAACAGTTATCTAAATCGAAAGAATCAGTTTCCCCGAACAATTTCATAGATCCCCTTCGTTTCTTCATTCACGGTTTACGACTAGTTTCAATTAAACTAATTGCAAACTGAAGAATTACATAAATATATATGTAAACCATAATAGAAGAGTTGGAAGAATCTCCTGGTGTAGACACGCCCTGGAGCATCCTTGCAAGCAACACGGATCTAATAAAAGATTTTGTTACAGATTCCTCGAGATTATTCGAGATGCAACAAGCTAGCACAAGGTTAGCGATAAATAATATCGACGGGTTATTAGCTGTCTTAACAGGATGTTTAGTGATAGCAACGGTATACCGAGCAAGATTAATACCGTTGCCTTACGTTACTTTAATTAACCCCGTACGCGGCCACCCTTCATAATGGTTGCGTCGGCTACGAAACTTGCCACCGGTTTCTACTAAAAACCAACAGATTTACGACGTTACTCTGAGAAAATAACGATATTAACGGACGTGATGCTCGTTATTATTATTCTTTATGTACGATCAGTCTCGTCTGTACTTGTCGGTGACGAATCGAGACGAAGAAATGTTAAGAGAAAGATTTGAAGGTAAAGAGTGAAAGAAAAAAAAAAAAAATTAGAAAAGCTTTTGAAGAGAACAAGGTATGCTGAGTGAAGAAGAAAAGAGGCAATTTGAAGAGACATGGAAATAAATAAAAAGAAAGAAAAAGCTAAGAGCAAATAATAAAATTATTATCTGTAAAAGTTAAATTTCGTCATTTAAGTGAATGATACATAAGACTTAAGTGAAGAAAAGCAGTTGAAAATTTGAAAAGGTTTGAATGTGAACAAAGATGGCGATAAAGGAGAAAGTTTTTTAACGTTCCAGATGATGTCCCTTCTTACTCTTGATATTTCTCTTTGCTCTTGAAATAAAATATAAGCTCATTATGTTCACATTTAATTGAATACTTAACTTTAACTTAACATTGATTGCTATAGCAAAAAATCTAATTCAAGTTCTTTGCATAAATTTCATGAAAAATACAAGTAGCAAAGTATTAACGCGTGATACAACGTTATAAACAATCCTTTCATCAAGACACTCTTCTGTATTCATAAATTCCTTCTGTGACTTTTCAACTTACTCTTCCATCCGCGTCTTCTCTTTAGCATATTGGAAAAAGAAGAAAATAACGAAACACGACTCGCATAGTACCATGAGTTACAAGAAAAAGTTAAAGTAACGTCAAATTATTATCCCCGTCTCTTCTTAATGCCATTCGTTGAGAAAAAGATGAACTTTGAAATATTTATATTATTCAAGCGACTTTCTCCTCTCTTTCATATAACAATAAAAAGATGGGTATAACTGGCAAGAATTTTTAAGAGTTTCCCGTAAATGAAAATGGTTCATCACTCCACAGAGAGTAATCGTGAATAAAACGCGACTAATTTGCTCGAGAACGAAGAGTGTGCCACGAATTTTTCTTTGTATAATTAGCTGATGGTGGAGAATGTTAGGAAGGAATTAAAGTTTGAATTGAAATCGTAGGGGAAGAGAAAATGGTTGAAATGTTAATTGTCGAATCAGCCGCGACGAGCCAGAATATTATAGAATATAGAATAATTGACAAAAATTTTAATAAACCTTATATGGTATTAATATTATACAATTAACGTAAGGAAGCAAATCGGAAACTTAATTTGTCTGACTGCACGTGGTCTTCTCTACCGTAGCAACGATTGTATTAACACACTGACATAAGCGCAACAGTGGAAACAGCGATGTATGGTCAGACACGATCAAAATGCTACAAAAATTCTAACATAAACACAAAATTTTGAATAATATAGAAAGAAATAAATAAAAATTTAACAACAAAAACTTGTATTCGTAACTTCAATTACATTCTCAGCTCACATTTTCAATATTCACCATCAACTAACGAAACGAAAAAGAAAATAATAATAATAAATTTCACGTTAAGAAATAAAAACAGTACACGTGAGAAGCAAAGATGAATACCAGTATTCGCTCACCATTATCGTAAGTGACGTGGGGGGCAACGTTGACTATCAACTGGGGGAGTTGGCTCCGTGTGTCGAATTCTTCTCACGGATACAATAGAATAATAATAATAATAGGAAGAAGAAGAAGAAGAAGAGAAATCGCGGTCGTGTACGACTAACGCGTTGGTACAGAGACGTTTGCGGCCTGTTGGTGGTGGAACGAGTGTCCGGGGTTAGAGATGACACCCTTTATATAGAGACCGTCGGCGCATCCCCCGTAGACTCACGGACCGACACACAAGCCAGATAGCCTCACCTGAGTTATGATTGGCCGAGCGTACAACACGATACCTCTACATTATTTTGATTCAATTATACCGTCGGCTACCGACCTACGTAATCTCCCTTATTATTTATGACTCTTGGCAAATAATAATCATCATCACGTATGTTGGTGTCTTGGCCTTAGCTGATCCATGGGGAAGGGATCCTTGCGACGACCGATGATCGTTTGCTGATCAATCCTCTTGCAACCTGTACTAAAACAAAAACGGGTCATAGTATAATCCGGAAATTTTACAATTTCTTAAAATTTTTATAAAATCACTACAAATTTTGTACAGACGGTCATCAACGAATTGGTGCTCTAAATAGTTTTGTGGGAGGAGCTATCCACACTGGAAGCCTCCACCCACCTTATTATGCGGGCACAGGCGTCAAGGAGTCGGAACTTCCCATTGATAATATATATAATACAATGCCTATGATAATGGTGATACAATGACACAATGACCAGGGAGGTGCTTAGAAGTAGGGGTGGTCTTCAGGAACCCCTCATTATTTAAAATATTTATATCTTCAATATTTCGTCTTCAAAAAATATTTGAATATTATAACATTTAAACTTCAAGTTTAAATGCTTTCATGACGTTATGTTAATTATTTACAACTGTGATGAAACTGTTAATTGAGTAAGGATAATGCTTTTAAAAGTTACTCTTCTGTACTGTAAATGATCTTTCAAGAAGTTACGAGTCCAGACTCCAGTAATTTCAAAGATTCCGTAAACGTAATATTTTTCAACTGAATAATCAAGAGATTTTTAACTCTCTTGTGGTTCCTTTAGAACTTTCCTTTCAGTATCTAGAATACGTTACAATCAAAATAAAAGGAAAGATTCTTTTTTATACAAATTTTAATCAATCGAGAAGCTTAAAATATTAAGGAAGAGAATTTTACCTAAGATTTGCAAGCAACACCATGAGATCCATAGAGAACCGCCATAGATTTAGATAAATATTGAAACATGGAAGACTGCTGTTGCTTCGTTTACTTTTCATCCATTGTTTCATGTTTGTTTTTCATTCGTGTAACCCCCACTTCGTCGATTATTGTTACTTCAGTTAAATTTTCCTGGAAGTAGATTCATCTTGTCGAGATTAAGGGACTATTGTAATTTGTATCAATACCTTTTCTTTCTTATTTCGTAATTAAGATATTAACTTCTACAGTGAATATGACGTTAGTTATATACTGAGGGTCATTAGCAATTGAATAAGTAAAAATAATATTAATATTAATAATGATATGAGTAACTGAAAGAAGATTCTAAGCAGCATTAATATTATATTATCGCTGCAGATCCGTGGTGTCCGTAACGAACATGTTAACATGATATTAATACTGCTTATTGGATTATATTAAATTTCTGGCAGCATTCATCGGTTATCTCCACGACATTCAATCTATTAAGATCTAATCAATATTTGAAATTGAAATAAGATTAAAAAAAGATAAAGATGAATTTATATGGAAAAAGAAGACACCATGAATATCTTCGAGGGTGAAATAGAGACTCCGGTGAATGGAGGATGAAATGCAACAGGTATAGACACTTGTTTTCCAGAGGTGAATCTGGGTCACTCGTTTCCCATCGTGAGATCGCGACACAGGTGCGAACATCTTCTCCTTATGTACTCGTTCAACGTGTTTCTAAAACGTTTTAAGCGTAAAAATGTAACCATGACATGTTTAACTTATAATATTACACCCTGAAGGCATTAATATGTTGTATATCATTAGCACCATAAATTTAATAAATAATTAAAAGAAGAAAAGGAAGACAATTTTAAATAAAATTAAAAAACTACTATTTTCTAATCATACATCACTTCAATTAATAAATATATGTTAAAATAACTTTGGTAATTCTTATATTTTTTGATAAAATCATTCCTAAAGTTACCTATCATTTTGAAGCTTCCGGGATGGTTCTTGCCCTTAAGGAACGATGAGAAAGGAAGAATAAGGATCGAAGAAAAGGTCCTGCTGCTGCATAAGTAAGAATCATTACTTATGTAGCTTCACCATTCAAACGGTAGTATGACTTCCAAGTGAATACTTTATCAACCGACCTCATTATTATTTGTCGATGCACAACAGGATCAATCTACTCGTACACAAAAGGAAACGAAAACTTCTGTTATTTCATGGAAAAATTATCGCATTTGTAAGAAACTCGAGTGTTATTGAGGAAAGAAAAAAAAAAACATAAAATTTTCATTCATAATCTGAATAATTATGTATTAAAATATCTAATGAAATAAAATGAAGACTAAGGGATGAAAAAAATTATTTACATCAGTGTTAAAAATAAAAAGCAAAGAAAAGTTGTGCATAATATTTCTTCCTTCTTTCCTCGTCTCAAGGATTAATATTTAATAAAGTTGCTGGTGAACTTCTCATATTCGCGGAGGCTAAATTAATAGTTTGTTATTTGAACTTTTCATAAGTGATTAAAATAATACAACGTTTCCCCAACCAGAGGGGATGAACTTTAAAGTATTCAAAGCAATTCCTAGCAACGTGATCGCATTTCTTCCGTGAACGTTCATCGACTTTTACTCGCGTTGCTCGTAGTTTTCTTCTTTTTTTTCTTGTCGCCTCCCCCTCTACGTAGGTGCACAGCGTATTATAAGTTGCACAATATAGCACGTTTTATCTTGAAAAATGTTTGCCTCCCGCCTTGCCAACAACCATTGTATTTGCTTTGTGTACGAGAAAGAAGGACTGACATCCCTGGAAGTACATAATCCGGTGTTAAGCCGATGAACCAGTAGAGTGACAGTCTGCACAATTGTTGACATTCGAACCGTGATCTATTCATGGTGTTAACAAAAAAAGGAGAGTTCAAGGTTTACATGGTAGGTAGTACTCACTAAACTGAACAGGAAATGCTTAGTGAATGTAAGCTGAAAAATCAATCCTAAAAAAAAAAATACGAAAGAGTTGCTACGTTTTATATAATGTGAAACAAAAGGTTTATATTACCATATTCTCACTTCGATATTTACAAATAGTGTTTCAAGTGTTCTGGTTTCATTTCTACACACTTGTGACATTTTTGTATAATGAAATAGCGAACTCTGTATGTTAGTTGTCTCCTAATTAGATATGCAGATGATATTAGTACGTGAATATCCTCTAAAGTGTGTAATCGTTAACGTTTCTGATATGTAAAGCTGTATGAAATAAAGATAAGAAGTAATTAAAGTATTAAAAAAATGTTGGAATAAAATCATGTAAAATTGTGTAGCTTAAAACTATTACATTTTGAAAAAGAACCCTCTTAAAATAAAAATTATTGATCACGAAGGTTGTTAGATAAATTTAAAGCAGAATATTTGTGCAAAAAAGAACTATATTTATATTTAGGAATTCTGGATCCCACAATAGACAATCTTTCGCTAAAAACACACCACAAACAAGAAAAATCTCAGAGCTGCTTTGATATGAAAATATTTGTATACATATAATTTTAGGAATAAATAATTATGTACATGCGTGGAATGTCATTATCTTACTGAGAGTAACAAGTGAAATGCAATAGTTTCCAAAACTTTATCTTACTTCCATATTGTAATCAAAATAAATGTATTATTCATAGGAGCATAGATTCTCTTGAACCATCTTCTGTGAACAGTGTAAATTGAAGGTATAAGAAAAATGGCAGCAGTTTAATTTTCAGAAAACTATGGATGTAATGTACTAAAACATTAGCTTAGTTCTCTAAGATATACATATTTATACCTGTATTAAAATCAATATCCTTTCCGCTTTTCAAGTCTTATAATTTGATGATGTAACTTTTATCATTTTTCTTTGTACACCCTCGAAAATAATTCTTTAAATAGCGTTAAAATATTATTGTCACAGTAGGCTACGACTAAATAACTAAATCTTTAATTTATTATGAACAACACGGAATGGTCTCTATGCTCCTGCACAATAGCATTATTTTGTAAAATGATAACAATACCTTGTAAAAAATTAATTGTAATAATTTACAATTAAAGGTATAATTAAAATGTTTCATTTTTGCAAATATCTGTGGAATCCTCTTCTATCCATGTTCGTGGGAATTTCGTTTAACTTAGACTACCTAAATTGTTTCTTACAGATACACATTAAAATCGGCTCATACACGACACTTATGTCACACAAGCAGCTGGTTCCACCATTATCAATTTATTAACACGCAACCACTTATAAAATAGTATCTGTAAATTGATTTATATTCAGTCTTTGTAGAGTTCTCTTAAAAACTATCTCTTGCATAATTTGTTTCTTTTTTCATGCTTTGTTCGAAATACAAAAGCTTCGCACCAATGAGAACAACAATTCCCGTTATTTCCCATATCGTTGCTCACATTTACTGTACTTTTCTAACAAACATATAAAATCCTTCACAGATAGGCAGAAATGCAAAGGTAGTGTGCTGGAATCAAAAAGAAAACATTTTATAAAGAGTACAAAGGGAAGGAAGTACATAAATACAGAGAACAGAGAAAATATTATAGTAACAGACATACAAAAATTCTGTTATTCGTGTTTGCCATGGTAAAGCACCATAGGTGCAACAAACATGGCCATATATTATCCCTAAATCAGGGTCTGGAATTCTCCATACATTTAGTTTTTCATCAAGTAAATCAATATTTATTTCTTCAGATTTAATTGTTCCTGCTACAACAGCTTCAGCTAATTTTTTTGTTAATGTTACTATTTCTCCTTTCCCATCTGAAGAGGATAATAAAAATACCCTTGTTTTTAACTTGGAATCTGCAAATCAAAACCATTAATTAATCATTACTATGCATATTCTTTTATTATAAACATTTATAAATAGATTCGTACAACAACGTACCCGTTATTCCATTTCGCGTGGATTTTACATTCGGTTTATTCCAACTTATATGATCCATTAAATCAGGCCGCCTCTTGGCTAGTTCATATTTCAAAGAACTCTCATTTCTGACTAAAAAACCTGTAACAAATATAATAAATAAATAAATGCAGTTCGAAATGCGATGTTTCCGAAGTTTTTGAATTGAATTGTTTGATATATCGATATACAGAGTACTGTATACGTTGCGAGTTCTGTAGTTATTTTCTTTTGTTAATTTGGTAACTAATAGATAAGTAGACATCCATGAACGATAACGCGCGCACGTGTTTCGTTTTGTCCTTGACTACAAATAGTAAAATACTTGTTTAAAGTAGCATTGCATAGTTTATTTACATGCAAATTAGTTTACAAAATGACAACAATTATAGTTATCTAATATCAAGGACAATTATCTTACTATCTAAAAACTTTTTTTGAACAACATGATAAAATCATTACATAACTATTGATATTCATTTAATCACTTCCATTTCTAATTTTTTGCATTTTGTATTATAATGTAAAAATAACAGAAATGCTAGCAACTTGCAAATTCATAGATATAGAACTACGTGTTTGTAAAAGGAAGATAATTTATATGAATTATTTATAAATAAAAATGAAAAACAATGAAAATTCGAAGGTCATTGCATCACTAATGCAATTCAAATGACCGCCATTAAACCCCAATTTTGAGGTTAGAATGAAATATAGATCAAATGAATGAATATGCTGAGAAATGTATGATTATCGAAAATTCACAATCAACCTAAGATATTATTGTTTTTTTTTTTCTTTTTAAATGTAAAAAGCAATAATTTTAACATAACAGTTAAGTCATCAAATTTCTTCAAACGTTAGTCTTCCAATCATCACTTTCCTATACCTTATTAATAAAGATAGATACAATGAATTTACAGCACTAAAACAAAAAAATGTGTAAAAAGATAATCGTTAGCATTATCAACAACAATCAGATAAAAGAGATAAGCAAAATTGTTACCATTAATGTCAAAAAAACTGATGTACGGTATACCAAGTGTGATACACCACCCAATGATTCGTATGCAGTCAAAAATAGTATTTTCCATCGTGCCGAAAACAATCACTATATGCCTGGGTAGTTTTTTCTTCTTGTTCGCTGTTGTTATTAACATTTCAGATTCTGTCCTTAAGTTTTCACCGTACCAAATCTTAGTACACTTGCGATAAAGGCTCGTGTAGCAATTATAAACCGCGGCAAACAAGTCGCATATAAAGTGCGTTAGTATCAACAATATACGTAATACTATGAACATAATGCCTCCTTAAGACCGTCGGCCTATGTAACATAATCACATGAAACTAACAAAAATCAAGATTTTCAAAACTACCCGGGATATCACGAGGAGGCTCGTGTACCTAACCACTGACCCGTCTAGCAGACGGTCATCTCACGTGCACCTGCTTACGCAGAATGACGGACGCACTCTTCTGTCGACAAGAAATACTAAACGTCGCATGTTGTTGACTCAAATTATATTCCTAATTAGATCGCACATGAGATTTCATGTTACTATGACATTAAAACGCAATTTTAGGTTGCCTGAAGTAAAATACATTTTCTATTTATCTAAAACAGCAACGACAGAAACACAATTGCGTCATTTAAATGCAATATTGCTGAGTATTCTAATCGTTAGGTATAATTACTATTATATCCATGTTTATAAAAGCAATGCTATTTGAATAATAATAAAGATATCATTCTTAATTGTATTATTTCATTCAAGTCATTCTATGCGAAAATTCATGTAAAACTTATTTTTAGGTTATATTCAATATATAAATAATTATCGCTATTTACATTTGTTTACATTACTATTATTCGTTCAACGAAAGACCTTTTAAAAGAATTAAAAGGGATAAAACAATAATGAATGCTTAAAACATTCTGCTTAAATAAAATTTAACTAAATTATCACAAATTCGCAACACTGTAACACCCACGGACAATATCACAATTTTGTAAATACAGTACGGAACAAAATGTCGCTAATTCATAGTATGTACACATTAAAATAACATTTTGAATAAAAAAAAGATTTCGAATTTAACTTTAAAAAATCGTATAAGTTATTAATAAATAATTATTTTATCTATATAATTTGTATGTGAAGATTTGAATATCACTGTTGATATTTTTCATGGCGCGAATATTGCGGTAACCGTCTGCTGCACTTGTCGGAATGTTTGAATGAGCGGCTCGTATTTTCTGTGGAAGTACGATAATCATTCTTTGGAAGTTATATGTATTTATTTATGTGACTGGTTTTAAACAAACCTTTCCAAAAAAGCAATAATTTTGAAAGTACATCTGATACTGAAGGATACATTGAAGGTATACTACAATTTTGAATTTTTATAGGTTAGACACGTGGTGTGTTTACTTCCCTAACCTCATACTGTATATTTTTAATATAACAACACTTTTCATATGTATATTTAACATAACATAATAATATAAATTTATATATTATTTCAGTAATTATAAAATAAAAAAATGTCATTTCGCGGTCGTGGAGGTGGAGGATTTGGAAGAGGCGGTGGAGGAGGAGGAGGTGGCGGAGGTGGATTTAGGGGCGGAAGAGGAGGTGGAGGATTTCGAGGAGGACGTGGAGGTGGTGGATTTGATAGAGGAGGAAGAGGGTAATTGTTTTAATTTTCACTTACTTAGACATATCATTAACAATTTGTGTGTTGCAGATATGATCAAGGTCCACCAGAACAAGTGACTGCATTAGGTCGTTTCACATGGACAGTTCAAGATGACCTAGTTGCTAAAGTAGACATAGAACAAGTACCTTTTTTTAATGCTCCAATCTATACAGAAAATAAACAACAGGTTGGAAAAATAGATGAAATATTTGGTAATATCAGGGATTACTATGTGTCTATAAAACTATCAGAGAATATAAAGGCATCCAGTTTTCATAAAGATACACAGGTATATTTTCTTATGCACAAATAATATCTAATTATAATAATATTTTCTCTAATTACTGGTGTTGTTTAATTTCAGTTATTCATAGATCCAGCAAAATTATTACCTCTACAAAGGTTTCTGCCTAAACCTCCTGGATCAGAACAAAAAAGAGGCGGTGGCGGTGGCCGAGGGATGAAAAGAGGTGGTGGAGGACGTGGTGGTGGTGGCCGAGGTGGCGGTAGACCATCATTTGGACGTGGTGGTTTTGGCAATAGAGGAGGTGGAGGTGGTGGTTTCAGAAGTCGTGGTGGAGGCGGCGGTGGCGGAGGAGGAGGATTTGGAAGAGGTCGTGGAAGAGGAAAGTGGTAGAAGAATAAAGATTATAATAAATTTTTACATAAAGACATATGAAGTGATAAAGATACCTTACTTTCATTAAAAGAATATCAACTTCTTTAGTGATATAAACGTTTCTTATATTTTATGTACAATCATACGTATATTTCACTGAAATAAAACTTCTCATTGTTACACTTCATCAAATTTAATATGCTTTCCAAGTTCTTTTTCTGCCTTCTTCAATAGTTTGTTTCTCCCTCTCTGTTTAATTTTAACAGTCTTACTTAATTTTTCTTCTCTGTCGCGTAAAATTTTATCCCAGTACATTTTTTCTTCCTCACCTGTACAATGACACAAAACGGGTGTTTATATATAAGGATACATGTATTTAAACAATTTTGTTACCTTCTAATACTGCCATGTTTCTCTCCTTATCAGATTTTTGTGTAAATGTTTGCGCGGCTTCGCTTGTATCGCATCTCACATAAGCAATGTAAGAACCATTTTCAACATCTATATACTTCACAGAATTATTACTCTTTAACTCCATCTGAAAGAATATTAAGTACATGAAAAAGATGTATTTACAATTGTACTATACATTTTACTTAGGTGATTGTTACGCACTTTAAAACTTTTTGGATCCGTACATGGTTTATCCATTTCAACTTTAACTATAACTCCTGGAATAAATGAAAAGCGACACGTACTTATATTATCTCGCTTGTTTATTTTATCCTTCTCATCGTTTTCTTCTCTGTCAGCTTTATTTTTTTCGTAATTAGACCACTGATTCCATCTTGCTTTTTTAAGATGCTGTTTAAGTTGTTTCATTTTACTCCTCTGTAATTCCAAGTATTTATTTCTAAGATGTTTCCAATCTTTTTTAGCCATTACTTGTAACCCCATACTATAACTAACATCTTTAATTTTACTTTGTTTCTTTCGTTTTCTTTTTTTCTTATTTTTAGTTTTATTTTCTTGTTCTTCTGAGACTGGAACTGCATTGACTTCAGTTACCATTTCTTCACAATCGTTTGATACCTGTTCTTCATTTACAGATACACACTTCTTAGATTTGTTTGGCTTTTTCTGAATACTATCAGTAAAACTATCGTTCTGTTTTTCATTGCTGGATTCCATTTCATCGCTATTTACATCTGAAGATTGTTTAACTTTTTTCTTCTTGCTTTTTGTTGATTCATTATCTGACTGTTTTTCTATATCAACAGTTTCAGGAAATTCTACGTCTTTGTGTTTTCTCTTTCTTGCTTTTTTTTTATTTTTATTTTCATGATTATCTGAATTAGAACTGTCATGATTGTCTGCAGTAGTAGTAGTATTAGAATCTGCAACTATTACCGATTCTCCTTTCTCTGTAACCATTACAGGTTCTTCTTTCTCTTCTACATTTTTATCAATTTCAATATTTTCTAATCCTTGGATATCAATAGCATTTTGATTATCAATAATAAATTCACAATTTTCACTTGAATTTATTTGTTTTCCTTTTAATGTTACATCTTTCTCCATATCATCAAAAGTAGTAATACTTAGAAGTTCATCAGGGGCAGTATATGAAGGTAAAAGACAGCCTTTTTTTTGAAAAGCCTAAAAGAAATTTAATAATATGAAATAATTTAATCTTATTTTACCTTCATCATGTATGTTCCTCTTACCTTGAGGCACTTTCCAGCCTCTTCAGGTGTATTGAACTCTACAAATGCAAAACCCTTTATTTTTTTATTATTTTTAAATCTTGGAACTGAAACATATACAACTTGACCATACTGAGAAAATATTGAACTCAAAGTTTCATGATCTGCATCTGGAGGTAAATTTTGTACATAAACTGTACATTCATCAATATTTTCTTTCTGTACTATAGGTGTTACACGACAAACTTTTGTTCCATCATCTGATATAGATAATATTGTTGATGCTTGCAGAGCTTTGTTTATTCTATTTATATCAGTAGTTAAATCTCGTATTTTATTGAACCGGAGGAAGATTCTGAGATCAACATCTAAACAGATTTTACAAAACAAACACAATTACATACATGTGGTTCAAATTTAATAAAATATAAGTATGATTTGAATAACTCTTACATGGATCTTCTTTAATCAAATTATTCAGAAACCTGTCTTTAGTTAAATTTGCATCACTGAAGTAAAATTCCATTTGTTTAAGTATTGCAGCATGTAATGCCTTTTTTCTAAGTCTAGGTTTCCCTCGTGAAGTGCTTGTAACTTTATTAACTGTTTCTATATGTGATTCTTCTATTGGTTTTTGTACATGAGGAACAGGAACTCTTTCTGAGTCTAGTTCCATATCAGATTGTTGTTCTTCCATCACCATTGTTATTTACAAATTTATGAATTAACGTTGAACAAATCTGTAACTTTATGTGTTTTCAAATACCTACAAGCTTATTTTCAACAATTATTTGCATGTTCAACTTACGAGTAATGTTTACCTTAAATGTACAGTAAGATAACTAAATTTTCAATGAAATCTTACAATAATTAGATGTTTTTATGTACTCGACCCAAATTGCAAACAGTTCCCGGTCGAGAATCCTCACAAACAACAAAATCTAAAACCATATAACATATAGATATTGAAGACATCAGATTCTTTCTTCCACCTACATGTGTATACGCCATGTTCTTTCATTCTTCACGCAAATTTATGTTCTCTTTAGATTTAGTTAGTTAATGGTAGCAACCAGTGACATACCAACACCATTGAAAAATCTCAAGTCATTCGTTGATTTATACATTTAGAATTGATCAACGATTGTTCATTTAAAATAATGGAGGAGATGGGCATTATTTTGCCTGATAAGGTGCCTATATTTTTACCATATTTTCTTTCAAAATTAAAAAAAACAGATTTGAAATTGTAATTATACTCAGCATCATCTGTTATAACCTTAACATTCGTTTACCACTTCTTTAACTATTAATTAAAATTTGTTATTAATCTGTAGGATGTTGGAGAAATGGATTGTAAACCTGTAACTGGACATTACACTGGTGCTGGAGATGAATTAGATGTTGAAGATTTATATACTAAATATAAGGTAAGCAGAGCTAATATTCTTTTTCATGCTCATTTACCTAAATACATTTATTATTAATTGAGGTTTTAAAACTATGATTTTATTGCTTATAGAAATTACAAAGGATGTTGGAATTTCTTGAAGTTCAAGAAGAATACATCAAAGATGAGCAACGTAATTTAAAAAAAGAATATTTACATGCTCAAGAAGAGGTAAAACGTATACAAAGTGTACCTCTGGTTATTGGGCAATTTTTAGAAGCTGTAGATCAAAATACTGGTATAGTAGGTTCCACTACAGGCTCTAATTATTATGTAAGGATTTTGTCTACAATTGATAGAGAGCTGTTAAAGCCTTCTGCCAGTGTAGCACTTCACAAGCATAGCAATGCTTTAGTAGATGTTTTACCTCCGGAAGCTGATTCAAGTATATCAATGTTGCAAGCAGGTATACATTTATGATTGTTACTATTTAATAAAAAGTATAATAAAACTTTCTCTATATACTATTTTATCTTACAGATGAGAAACCTGATATTCAGTATAGTGATATTGGAGGTATGGATATGCAGAAACAGGAAATCAGGGAAGCAGTAGAATTACCTCTTACTCATTTTGAATTATATAAGCAGATTGGAATTGATCCCCCAAGGGGTGTGTTAATGTATGGTCCACCTGGATGTGGTAAAACTATGCTTGCAAAAGCTGTAGCTAGACATACTACAGGTATATATTATTGTAATATTTACAATTGTATACACTTATAGGATGTACAAATTAATGTTATAATATTAATATGTTTCAGCTGCGTTTATTCGCGTAGTAGGTTCTGAATTTGTACAAAAATACTTGGGTGAAGGACCAAGAATGGTCAGGGATGTTTTCCGTTTAGCCAAAGAAAATTCACCAGCTATAATTTTTGTTGATGAAATTGATGCTATAGCCACGAAAAGATTCGATGCTCAAACAGGAGCAGATCGCGAGGTGCAACGTATTCTTTTAGAATTGCTTAATCAAATGGATGGTTTTGATCAAACCACCAATGTTAAAGTTATAATGGCAACGAACAGGTAAAACTGTTACTTTTGTTCTACTTAAATAATGTATACAGATTTATTGATTCGTCTTTCTCTTTTTAGAGCGGATACGTTAGATCCTGCGCTTTTACGTCCTGGTAGATTAGATCGTAAAATAGAATTTCCTTTGCCCGATCGTCGACAAAAACGTTTGATATTCTCTACAATTACTGCCAAAATGAATTTAAGCGAAGAAGTGGATCTCGAAGATTATGTAGCCCGGCCAGATAGGATTTCCGGCGCTGATATTAATGCAATTTGTCAAGAAGCAGGAATGCATGCTGTTCGTGAGAATCGATATATAGTTTTAGCGAAAGATTTCGAAAAAGGTTACAAGAACAACATCAAGAAAGACGAATCTGAACACGAATTTTATAAATAAAAAGGAGACAATGTACCCTTATGTGTCCTTGATATTTCATGATCACATATGTATTTACAAGTTCATGTATTGCTATGAATCAAATAATATACGTTTACACACTTTTTGTATCGTTAATTACCATTAGAATTCCATTACATTTTCCTATGTATGTATATACAAATGTAGATAATTGGCTTATAAAATTTGAATAACAAGTATACATATAGAGATATTTTAAACATTAATATCACTTAATTGTAAGATTTCTGTAATTTAATAACTCTAAAGACTGTATTTTTGCTAAAATTTATTAAAATTACAATATCCATATAGAAAATTGATCATAATTACTCTAGCCTTTTAACAGTTAAATAACGAGAATTCATCGTGATCATTCATTATGAAATGTTATGAAATGAAGTTGCGTAGACTTTTAAAATAGCGTAATTAATTTTTTATCAAACATAATAAACGAAGATTAGCAACATAATCAAATAAAAGCGACATATTTTCATTCACTCAATGTATTACGTTTTTATGTGGACTGAAATATTTACTATAATCCTAACCTAAAGCGATAACAGTAAATAATATTTTAAAAACATTTTTTAATAATTGTTGCTTTTTAATGTTGTAATAAAACTTTATTACAATGAATTTACCACGTATATTAATAGTGAGTACCGAAAAAGGGAAAGCAAATGAAATTGCTACAAGTAAGTTGATACTACTAATTCCTGAAACAAATATTTTGATTTCCTGTACTTATTTATTTTATAGACGTAGGAGCAGAAAGGTTATCTAATCAAGATTACTTTGAATATTATTTATGGAATATACAAAACAAGTATTATAAAACACAAGTGTTAATATGTGTTACGGAAAATCCTTCTCCAGATATTTCAATCGACGGTGTGGAAGCTCTTATTATACATCATGATCCACAGGCAGTAAGATCTTTCATTCATAAAAAGAACTTTCAACAGGGCTAATGATTTTTAGCATTAATTTTCTTAGGAAAATGCAGATGAAAATTTAAAACAATGGTCATCCCTAATTGCTTCTTTAGCTGAAGCAGAAGTATTATTGTTTTCTTGTAACTTTATAACAGATGTTGTTATTAGAGATAAAGGTATACAAAAATACATAATTAGCTAATATAATATCATTAAGACAGAACAGATTAAACATATGTTTGGTATATTTTAGTGATAAAATGGTGTCTACAAAATAAATTTGAATTGATTGAATTCAATAGACCTGATGTAGATGCTTCAGAAGCTGATTCAGAACATAATAAATATGGTATCGAAAGGATCATTGAAGCTTTACATGCTCATATGTGGCCTAATATGATACTTAAAGGTTTTCAACAAAAATTATACTTAAACTTAGATCTTAAAATATTGCTATAATTGTCTATGACAAAAATTGTGATTGATTTTAATGTTGCAGGGAAACCACCAAACATAGATGACAGAAATAATGACATGAATGAAGTTGAAGAACAATTTGAAAATATTGAATTGAATCAAGATTCCACAGAAACATTACCAATGGAGAACATGCTAGGTTTGTTGGAAGCATACTTATTAAAAAATTATGTTACAGTTTGTACAAATGAAGTTTTTCAGATGGTATTATGGGAGAAGAAAATACAGATTTTGGTGAATTGTTTAGTCATTTAAGAGCTATGAAAGAACATGCAGCGTCGCTGCCAACTAATCAAAGACGGATAGCAGCCGAACAATTAGTTACTGCTTTCTGGAAGGCGATGGGCGGTGATCCATCAGAAATGGAAGATTAATTTGTATACATCTAGATACATGTTAGAGACATAATTATTTACAATACCTTTTCGATGTTAGTTGTTAGAGTAAAATGCTAAGAAAACTGATTCTGAAATGTTTGAAACCATTTCAATACAATTATAATAGTAGCATAAGAATGAAATGGAAAGATATAGTATTGCATGTATCCAACATATTTAAATTTTGCATCGAAATTTTATAGTAAAACTTTGTACAATTTGTTTTACAAATGTTTTATACGTAACTTCATAACTTCATCGTATATTTATTAAATAAATTCATGCAATCAGTGTAATTTTAAATTCTCTAGTGAAATAATTGTAACAAAACATCTTTGAATAAAAATCAAATGTAGTGAAAAAAACGTGCATACTCATTTATCTTGCAAATATTGGTATCCTTGTTTTCGTTGAATTGTAAAGCGTTTATAGTTGCCGGCCTGCCGTTTAACTAAAATGTCTGACGCTTTTCTCATAGTTGTTCCGTTTGATTTGGACGAACACACAAATAGAATAGAATTAGAAACGTTCGCACGGCCAAAAGATTTGAGGTGCGGCACGCAAATAATTTTTTCATTTTTATCGTGGACAACATGTATTCGTCAGTTACTTAGTACTAGGCATGGAGTAAGTTATAATCGAGCTAACACTATATTCTGTAATATTTAGTTCTTTAATATTTCTTTAGAATTTTTATCTATTTTATTAGGTTCTGACAGTTTTATAAAATCTCGCCGAAAAATAATTACGTTTCTTGTAATTTCATGAAGTATAAATGGAAGTCTCTCTGTACCAATATTCTTGATGAAAACATGGTTCGTTGATTTAAATCATTCAGCATTTTAATATTTTACTTGTCCACTAAGTTAGTTTTATAGCTGTTTTTTATATCTAGAAATGGAAATTATTATCGACGATTGTACATGTTGTATAATTGTAACTCCGTTACTACCTAATCAGATTTTCGCGTGCGTAGGTGCATCCGAATATTTGTATTTGAGATACGTTGTTTGCATTTTACCTGAAAATTAATGTTACCTTTTTTGTGAAAATGTAATTGAAGAAATTGATTACCTTACTTTGTGTAGTTGTTTTTAAACATTTGCATAAAAGATTCTTTATAAAAAAGTTGCAATTTATTCGGATGTGAATCATACGCATTTGGTTTTTTTGTTTTTTATTTTGTAGAGTCTGACATATATCGAGTATGAAAAGTAAAGCTTTAGTCGCATGCATGATAAAAATAAGAATTGATCATTGACCAAGACAGATGTAGTTGAGATTTCTCAAGGTAAACTTTCACACTGATTTGTTCACTTTTACAATATCTTGATTTCATTGTTTTCTTTTTTTGTTTCGATATGATTTTATATGTAGAAAAACTGGAAAAGAAATCTATTAACACAATGTCGCAATCAGAGGATACTTATGCTCCAGAAGAACCAACATCAGATATTCCAATATCAATGCTTGACATACAAATGCCAGAAACACCAGAAAGTACAAAAGGTCAAGTTAGCGACGGAGACACACCCAGATTGGAAAGTCCAAAGTTGCTTAAACCTGTGCTAGGAAAAGTGCAAGCTAAAAAAAGATTGATGGCATTTGCTAACAAGTTCAATGTACTACCAAAAGTCCAGAATAAATCTAATCTATTTCAAGTGCATTCAGTTAAAATTTCTAAATCTAAAAATAAGTCAGGCGATAACAAGTCTTTAGAAAATAATTTGAGCACAGGATTAAATGTAGATTCTGATTCTATGCAACAGTTTCATAATCGCCATTCAAGCGGTAGTAAATCGAAAAAGAAAACAGGTATTTGTATACTTTTCTTAGCATCAGTAAAATATATTCTTTGATAATTCAGTGATATGATTATACAGAAGAAAAAATACTGGCTATCGAAGAGATTAGACGAGAGGAATCTAAAAGTAAAATGTTATTGGCAGAAGCTATGGCTGCAGGTATTAAATGGTGAAATATTTTCGAACAGAATTATTTATTAGCGATAACTACTTTATCTTCCAGCTAGTTTAGAAGAAGAAAACTATGGGAATAGAAATGGACAAAATTTATTGGAAAATATAAAGAGTATTAGAGAGAGAAATAGACAAGATGATATTAATAGTTCGCATAAAAGTGGTTCAAAATCATCCATAGAAAGTAAACGTTCTGAGAGGTATGAAAACGTTTAACTCTTTTATCTTAGGAACATTTCACCCATATTTCATTCATTATACTACTCACATTTTTTAATGTGCATGGATGATGTACAAAGATTTTTTTAAGGAGGCGATACGGGAAAGAAGAAAGAAGGGATAGTACGAGTAGAGAGTCAAAAGAATACGGTACTGGTAAGAAACGGTATTACAAGCTCCCTCATAATAAGGAACAACGTAAAAAAGATAAGGACAAAAGAGAGGATAAGGACAAACGGGATGATAGTATCAAGTTTGAAGAGAATCGAGATAAAAAAGATGAAGAGAAAGATAATAAAAAGGATAATGAAAGAGATAAATGGGAAGAAGTAAAGGAGAAAAAGGGATCAAAAGAAAAGAGAGAAAACTTCCGAGAAAAGAGAAGTGATTCACGTGAAGGAACTGTAGAAGCTAAAGACAGAAAAGAAAAAGAGAAAGAAAAGGACCGAGGAAAAGAAAGAGACATAATGAATTCTTCTTCGTGGATAGAGTTAAAGCAATGTGGTATAACAATGCATGATATAATTGATATTAAAAGACGCGATCCAGTAGACCGACCATCAAAGAACAGGTTTGTAAGGATATTTAATTATACCATTTATATTGTTTCTCACATATCAAGCACGTAGTGTAGAAAAAAAACGTATTACAGAACAGCTGAGGATTATTTACGTCACTTTGAACAAATGTTAATGTTGAATGATATTCGTTTGAGACGTTACGCTTTTATTGCCGAAGGACTCGATGGACCTAAAGAATATCCTCCCGAGTCTATAAGAATAACTAAAAGAGGAAAGCCTCAAATTATTTATTCGGAAAATTCTCGAATGTCTTTTTTCCTTAATCGTCAACAAATTCTTCAAGCTGTTACCACTGAACGCCGGGAGAAGATGGAAAAGATATGCGAGGCAGAATTTACACGGTATATATCGAAATGTTCTTTTTCTCTTCAATTTTCCTTTACCCATTCAGATCCTAACGTTTCTAGAGATAATGCAGAAGAAGCGGAGAAATCTCAAGTAACTCGTGATTGGTATCCGAAAGCAGGCATGTGTAAGTCTAATGAAAAAACTAAATGGCATGTACCCGTTAGCGTACAGCTTCCCAGATCAAAATGGGACAGCGAGGACGATGACAGATTATCCAACGATACTGGAAAAGAACGGGAAGACGAAGTAAAATCAGATGATATTGAACCTGACGCGGGTATAAATTTATAAATTCCATTTTGATGTTTTAAAAAATAATTAAAATAAATTTGATCTATTAAATTTGTTTCAGAACAAGAAGCGTTTTCTCTACGGTCAAATATAATGAAGGCGGATACTAGCGCTGACGAAAAGACTATTAATGAAGATAATAAGTCTTCCAGCGTTACAGAAGTAGACGGTAGACAATTATCATCTCCTTTATTGTCATCAGCAGGCAACGAGAAATTAGCATCAGAATACGAACAGTTCATGAAGATGGTTTGTAATGACATTCCCGGATCAAAAGACTTCTCGCCGAAATCATTACCGTCTAAATCATCCACCTCAACGTTGAGTTATCACGAGTTTAACATAGAAACTAATTTGCCAGAAGACAACAATTTTTCATTCGCGAATCATAGCGTATCCGGTAGGTCTGATAAAATTGATACGAACAAGGGAGAAGAGAAACTCAATAGTAATGAAAGTCAGCAGAACTTGGATAAAGCTTCGATAGAGGATGAGATATCTTCGAACAGTAGTCACTGTCAGGAGCGTATGAAACCGGAAAGCAAAGAAAAGTCTGAAAAAAGTGAATCAGAAGATTCGAAATCGATACCCAGTGATTGGGAAAATGTTCGCATTAAAGTGGAACGATTGAGCGATGAAAATTCCGATTCTAGAGAGACGAGGAAGAAACGAAAACGGAAGAAAATGACTTCTAGCAGCGATTCATCCAGCACGTCCAGTTCTTCCGACTCCGAGGAAGAAGTAAAAAGAAAGAAAAGAAAACAGAAGTCGTCGAAAGACTCGGACTCGGATTCTGATTCGGATAGTAGCGACAGCAGCAGCAGTAGTAGTAGCGATTCTTCTAGCTCTGACGATAAGCGAAAGAAAAGAAGGAAGAAGAAGCGGAAAGCAGAGAAAAGGAAGAAGAAAGCAAAGAAACTAGCGAAAGCGAAAAAGAAGCGGAAAAGAAAAGTAAGCACCGATTCCAGTAGCAGTGATTCTTTCGACGATAGAAAAAAGAAGAAGGCGTCAAGCAAGAAATCAAAAAAGAAGAAAGAACGCAGCAATAAGCAAGATGAAAATGAAGACATAGTAAAAGCGATACAGAAATCTCCTCTGCAATCTTTGACACCAGAAAATACGAAGCTGATGCGTTCGCAGGTACCACGGAAGAAGATCAAAGAGGAAACTAAGGTAGAATCTAGAAAAAGATCAACCGAGAAACACGATATCTGGAGCCAAGAACAAGAATTGGTACGAAAAGTGATTTCAGACAGTGATGTATCTAACAAGTCACGCAAAGATGAAGAAAAAAGGAATAAGAACAACGAGGAATACTTGGAAGAATGGGACATGGATTCTGTAATTATGTCACAGCAAAAGGGACAGAAATTGTCGAAGGGTAACACGGAGAAGATGGAAAAAACTGAGATAGAAAATATTAGAAAAATCGAAAGAAAAGATGAACGAAGTAAAAGAGATGAAAGATGTAAAAAGGATGAACGTTTCAAAGAGAAATGTTCTAGTCTCGGTAAAGAGGTTATACAAGAGAACATGAAAATTGATGAAGACAATGATGCGAAGAAGAAAAAGAAGAAAGACAAAGAGAAGAAGAGCAGTAACGAATTTCTAACTGATTGGGAGAAGGAGAGTGAACGAATGTCACAGCAAATGATGCAAGACGAAATGAAGCTTTCGAAGAAGTTAGAGAAACAAAAGAAAGATAAATGGGGAGAGACTGAATTTGACACGTTAAACGTGCCATCTCTAACGCAGCTTGAAAGAGAGGTAAATAAAAGGCAGCTCTTGGCAGACGACTGGGAGGTTGATAGCTTGGAAGCTGTGCCGGATCTGATGATCAATAAAAAGAAATCCACGCGTACTTCGAAGAAGTTG